AGCCCACTAGCTCATATGAACAAATGATCCCATCGGCCCATATTGAATCTAGGTCGATCTGACGATCACGGATATCAGGTAGTGCTTTAATTTTATTTATTTTTCTACATATCCAAATCACTTGAAATCTTACGTGTATATTGTTCTCATCAAGGTACTCTTAATAAAAATGTAAAACAAATTATCTGTAAAATCTAAAATGATCAAAATACCCCCGACACTTTTTATGGGTATTTTGGTCAATTTATTTCACGTAAAATACTTTTTTGATATTTTTCAAAAAATCATCTATTTTTGAGGAACATACACCTTAAATTTCAAGTGATTTGGATTTATAGAAAAAAAAACTAATATTCAAACACTAGTGACGTCTTTGATCGTCAGATCGGCCTAGAATCAATTTGGGACTTTGGGCTCATATGTTCATATGAGCTAGCTGGTTAATCCCAACTTTTCCGTATATATATATATATATATATATCGAGAGAGAGAGTGAGAGAGAGGGAAGTATGGGGTTAGCCCGCTCGCTTACCCCTTTGAGAGAGCCGAATGGCTATGATGAAAAAATGAAAATCCCCCGGTTGTTGGAACGAGTTGTACATTTTACAAAAAAAGGTCCATGCGTTTGAAAATTTTGGTCCCCAGGAAGTACGCTGTGATGACAACATCCTGAAAAGGGCGCCTTTCGATCTCTCTCCTAGATTTTCTCTCTCTTATACTTCCTAAAAAATAGAATGCTCTTTCTCTCCCTCACGCTCTCTCTTTCTATTAGAGTTTGGGTTTTTTTCTCTCTCTTCTACTTCCTCCAATTTACAAACACCCTCTCTCTCAATCTGCTCATGCCAAAGTCTTTCTCTCTGTTCACTCCGCTTGTTGTTCCTGTTGTCGCCCTCTCCCACCCTCTTGCTGCTCGTCGAAAGAAGCTACCCTCCGCTCTCTTCACTGTGTCTCTTTGCAGCTCAGCTCTCTTCACTGTGCCTCATTGCAGCCCACCCCATTTGTAAAGGTTCTCTCTCTCCCTATATTTGTTTGAGATTTATAGTATTGCAAAAACCCCAAGATCTCTATATTCGTCTGAGATTTATAGTATTACAGAAGCCTCAATATCTCTGTATTTTTCTGAGATTTATAGTATTGCAAAAACCCCAATCTTTTTATCTCCGTATTTCTTGTCTACTATTGATTCTACAATTTTTGCCCTGAAAATGCATAGATGGAGGTTCATTTGATTTTCTGTTTTATCTGATAAATCTTTTGTTCTTTGTATTTCTTGTCTACTATTGATTCTACAATTTTTGCACTGAAAATGCATAGATGGGGCTTCATTTGATGTTTTGTTTTCTCTGATAAATCTTTTTTTCTTTGTATTTCTTGTCTACTATTGATTCTACAATTTTTGCCCTGAAAATGCATAGATGGAGCTTCATTTGATTTTTTGTTTTCTCTAAAAAATCTTTTTTTCTCTGTATTTCTTGTCTACTATTGATTCTACAATTTTTGCCCTGAAAATACATAGATGGAGCTTCATTTGATTTTCCTGTTTTCTCTGAGGTTGGGATTCTTTGTTTCCCTTCATGCCCAATATATTATTGTTTTATTGTTATTTTCAATATGATCTATCTCAAAATTGGATAGAACGAAAGAGATGGTTGAGGTTAATTGATATTTATGCTGATATTTGGAGGCTCAATAAGTTGGGTAAGTTTAATTTATTAGTAAATGATTAGATTTTACTAAAAAATGAAAATGAAGAGTGGTAAATGCTTTCACGAATGGTGCAATTTGACTAAATTGGTACTTCTTATTTTTTAGAAGAAAAACTGTTTGATTTTCTATGTTTTTTTTATATAAGTTCAACAAGATCAGTGTTTGGACTTGAAACTTAAAGTTGGTTAATTAATACGGTATTTTTGTCATTGATTTTGATGCATATAGTCAGTTGTATGTCTCATGCTCCACTTGTTGGCAGAGCATTGCCTCTCTAGCATAGACTGCATGATCTGCATATTCTGATGTCTATAATGTTCCCCAACGAGTTAATGTGTAAATTTTGAGATTCTTAACTTTTGTTCAATTGATGATTGTACCACTTCTTTCTATTTTCTGATATGGCTTCCAATACCTTAGTGTGGTCTTAATTGGACGTACAAAGGCCTAAGAGGATATATTTAGCTTTCTGTAGTCTTCCATGACTTGACTTCTACTAGAGGAATATTTGTGCTTGGACTTTTTAGAAAGTAGATTAGTATGTGATTTACATTTGGTGTTCATATATTCTCTGCCCATATACCAAATTTCCAACCACGTAACTTTTTACTGAATCTTCTATTCAATAGTGAGAGAATGGACAGTTGAATGTTTCTTTTTTTACCCCTTCCATTTGTTGACATGAAGTTCAAAAGACCACTCTTTTTAAAACTTGATCTGGGTTAAATCGACTCACACAATTCAACTTCCTGAGGATGGGATTCTTTTTTTCCTTTCATACCCTATCTATTGTTTTTTTATTGTTATTTTCAATATGATCTTTCTCAAATTTGGATAGAACGAAAGAGATGGCTGAGGTTAATTGATATTTATGCTGATATTTGGAGGCTCAATAAGTTGGGTAAGTTTAATTTATTGGTAAATGATTGGATTTTACTAAAAATTGAAAATGAATAGTGGTAAATGCTTTCACGAATGGTGCAATTCGACTAAATTGATACTTCTTATTTTTTAAAAGAAAAGCTGGATTTTTGCTATATCACTTGTGTTGGGTTCAGCTAGGATGTGGGTCTTATGGTGTTTGATTTTCTACTCTCTTTTTTTTTTTTCTCAGATAAGTGGTTATCTATTTGTTCCACTTATTTGGTTATAATTGAATGGACTTTTGTTATAGCTTTTGAGTTGGTTCTATGAGATGTTTTTGGTGCATAGTTCTTATTGGTTGATAGTTTTATTGCCATGCCCTTTTCCTAGTAGCCACATAATGCTGAATATATAAAATTTTGCATGTTGCATACTTTTTTCCTCTAAATCATCAGTTTAGACCCATTCATGTGCTTTGGTCACTTTGGATCCATTTGAAAGTTTGGTATTTTATATCCAACCTATGATTTGGGTCCTTATTGATAAAAAATAGGCTTGTTTAATTTATTTTTGCTCTATATTTTGTGGTAGAGATGCCTGGTTTTTGGCAATGGTTAAGCCCTTTTGAGCTCCAGTTATCTTTTAACTACTAGGTAATTTTAAAAGAAAAGCTGGTTTTTTTTCCTAGAAACCACATAATGCTGAATATATAACATTTTTCATGTTGCATAATTTTTTCCTCTAATTTGTCAATTGTCCTCATCTTGCCTTATACTTTCGCTTTTGTCTCTACTTTCATGGTATATCTTAAGATGATGGTTTGAATAACCCATCAATCCTCATACCCTTATCCACTTGATCTACCATGAGAGGTTTTTGGCACATAGTTCTTATTGGTTCATAGTTTTATTGACATGCCCTTTTCCTAGTACCCACATAATGGTGAATATATAAAATTTTGCATGTTGCATAATTTTACCACTCTAATTTGTCAATTTTCCTCATCTTGCCTCATACTTTCGCTTTTGTCTCTACTTTCATGGTATTCTTTAGTTGAAGGTTTAGATACATGTACTTTTGTAGTTTGCAGTTAGACATTGGGTAAATTAAAAATCTGAGATGGATTCCACGAGTTCAGTCGGTGTGCCATCTAGTACATGCCCAAATGTAGGCAGCAATGATGAAATCCCGGATGGTGGTTGTGGCTCAGCAAATATAGACCAAGAAATAGAAGAACCATGTGTATGGATGAAGTTTGGATCAGAGGATGATGCCTATGACTACTTTAAGTCTTATGCATTGACCAAAGGTTTTTGTATTCGCAGGGAGAGCACTCATAACAAGAAAGGTAAACGGATCGATAGGGTTTATGTTTACTCGAAGGAAGGGTTTAAACCAAAAAAACCTAATAAAAGTGGAAGGTTACCTTGAGTTATGGTGTGGGTGCAAGGTTAGGCTGTGCATAAGTAACCAAAAAGACGATGCATAGAAAGTGACTAGCGTCGAGCTAGATCATAATCACGATCTAGTTACTCCAAAAAAATCTTGTATAATTCGCACACACCGATCATTGTTGAGTGCTACAAAGTCCTTGATACATTCAATGAGCTCAGCAATGGTTAAGCCCATACATATTCATGATATATTCATAGAGCAGGCTGGAGGGATCGATAATGTCCCTTGTATACAAAAGGATATCCAAAATCAAATAGCAAGCGGTAAAAGAAAACTTAAAGGAGAAGATGGCAATTTAATTTTGTAATGGCTCTATAGAAAGAATCAATCGAACCCATCATTTTTATATAGATTGAGATGTGATGATGAGGATCACATTCATAATATCTTATGGGTAGATTCTACATCTAGAGTTTCCTACTAGTGCTTTTCTGATATGGTTACCTTTGATACCACATATAAGACAAATACGTTTGGTATGCCCTTTGCACCTATACTTGGTGTAAATCACCATTTAGTACAACTATCTTTGGATTTGCACTCATATTTGACACGAAAATAGAATCATCTATATGGGTATTTGAAAACTGGTTGAAAGCCATGGGTGGAGGGCAACAAGGCGTTATTCTCACTGATCAAGATCCTGCAATTTCATATGCAGTTAGACAAGTTTTTTTCCAAAGTAAGCATTATTATTGTAAGTGGCACATATTTGCAAAGATCAAAGAAAAATTGTCATGTCTTGCATATGCATCCTTCTTTTTCAGATACCTTTATGAGGTGTGTGGCTAGCCCAACAATTGAAGAATTTGAATCAGGATGGAAATCAATGGTTGAGAATTATCAGTTGGAAGACAATGAATGGCTAAGCAAGCTTTATAGTTATTGAATGTAATGGGTTGATGCTTACTTGGCTGACACGTTTACAGCGGGTATGACCTCTACTCAAAGGAGTGAAGGAATGAATTCACACTTCAAAATGTACTTGACACCTACAACAAGCTTACATACATTATTAGAAGTTGTTGCAAAAGTCCAAGATAAGATGGTACGAAAAGAGAGGGAAAATGACTCGAAAGATATTCAAACTACTCCAGTCTTACAAACAACCACTTTCATTGAGTCACAAGCATAAAAAATCTATACTCCAAATATTTTAAAGATATTTGGGAAGAGGTGGCTAATTGCTTTAATTTTACTAGGGAGACAGTTGAAGACAATGGACAGGTTGCTACCTTTAAGGTGGGAGTCTCAGGGATGGGATCTAGACCCTACTTAGTGAAATTCAATTACCGTGACAATTCGGTTTCTTGCAGTTGTCACTTCTTTGAGAGGATGGGCCTTCTTTGCAGGCATGTACTGAAGATTTTTATGGTGAAAGATGTTTTTGAAATCCCTCCATAATATATAATGAGGTGTTGGATCAAGGATGTAAAAAAGGGAGTTTTTGTTGATGACATTGGGGAACAAATTCAGGTAACTTCTGAACTACCACGCTCCATTAGATTTAATGAGGCTATGCAAGCAAGTAATCCCTTGCCGAGCATGTTTCACATAGTGTTGAGGGACACAAGTTTATAATGTCCATAATACAAAATGGAATTTGTCAGTTTGATGAAAAGATTGTATGCAAGAGAGGTCCACAGGATAATGCCATGAGCCATGTCAATGAAGATGAGAATTTACTTAGTTGTAGTAACACACCAAGTGGACGTAACCATTGTCGCGATGTCCTTGAGCCTCCACGAGCATGGATAAAGAGACGATCGACCACTAAAAAATTGAAAGCTCGTTCTGAGGGATGGAGCCGAAGACAAAAAAAAGGAAATGCACAGTCTGCAATGGTAGCGCGGACATGATAAAAGGAACTGCCCGTCATTCGTTTGTGATAGGTACAACTACATACCTTTACATTATTTTGATTTACAATTGTATTATTCTCATTATTTCTGATCTATTTGATTTACAATTGTATTAGCTTCAATTGGAATACATACATATGAATTTATCTTCCTCTTACAGGGCTAAGGACAAAACACGTAGTAAGCATGATGGTATTGTAGAGCCCATCTTAAGCAAGGAGGTCAAGTGACAGCAAATATGCATTGATGGTATGGACAAAACACATCGTAAAGCACTTTTGTAATTATCTACATGCAAATCACTAGGCCTAGGCTTATCTCGCATATAGCTACTTGCATGCAATTTATTATTGCATTTCCATGCTAAATATGGAAATTGTGACAGTGTTGTACGATTTTCCTTACATGATAATATGTTCCTTTTGCTCTGTTTTCCGCTCAAGAACAGTATTAGTGAACCCAGGACTAGGAATGCTCTGAAATAGTGTCTGTTATTTCCTTCTTTGTGACATAGGGCACTTTATTCACACAGGTGGATATTAGACAATGAAAAATGAATGATTTGTTCACTGCTTTCATCTGCTAGAATATGAAGTTGTATTTCGTGATTGTGCTTACAATGAAAAATGTATGATTGTTCACTGCTTTCATTTGCTAGATTCTGAAGTTTTATTTTGTAATTGTGTTTACAAGGAAAATTGTATGATTGTTCAATCTTAGCCCACCATCGTGTAGTCAACAAGTGCATGATTGTTCAATCTCTGTGACATAGGGCATTTTATTCATACATCTGGATCATAGACCCTCCATTGGTGATTGTTGTTCCTGCTAAATGCACATCCACACCCCCTGAACTTGTATCGAGCAAGAGAGAAAGTGGGATCAGAGACCATGCTGAGAATCAAATTTGTACTCGATTGTAGATGGAGTATTAGGACAAGAAGCAAATTTTTATTCAATGTATTTTGTTTTATCATGGAGAAATTTCATATTAGCTCCATCAAATTTAGTTTAGATCATGAACTGCTATGTAGTATCCTCATTGGCTATGAAGAAGGTTCTTTTACATGATTTTATTTTTTATGATTCTTATATTGGTGTATATGATTTAAATTATTTATGTTGAATGGTTCCATTGCAAGTTTGAACTTCTATATGGAGTAAAAGATAGGCTCGTGATCTTAATGGTGATTTCTCATATTGTTTTTATGTTGCTGGAATCTTATATCATCCTCCTTACAGTTGTTGTCTTCTGCGTATAGGAAAAAAGATAGCCTGGGTTTTGAAGGAAAAATACACACTATTGCTTTTTCTCACCACAAAAAGTAGGGGTTAAAATTATTGTTTAATTTCTTATCAAGAGTTAACATTCCGTTAATCCCTTTTATTATGAGTGGTTTAATTTGTGGTCAAAAGTTAACATTCCGTTAATCCCTTTTATTATGAGTGGTTTAATTTGTGGTCAAAAGTTAACATTCCGTTAATCCCTTTTTATTATGAGTGGTTCAAAAGTGCATGCCTCCTAAGGTCTCGGCTAAGGTTTTATAGCGACATTACATTAGATAGGTTTATTGAAACCACTACAGTGAAGCCAAAAGTTTTATGCTTCCGAGGCTACACGCTCGTCTGAGGGTACATGCTCCTTCGAAGTAAAAACTCGATCTTGGAGTACTTATAGGATTCCAATTTTGGGGATGTAAACTCCTCTACCTGGCAACAAATTGTGAAGAGAAATCCTATGCATCTTGTATTTGCATGAAGTAATGTTGAAAGTCATCTAGTATTTGGACCATCTGATCTAAGGGTTTTCTTTTTCTGTTTTTCTTTTTTTTTTTTTTGGGGGAAACTCAATGGGAACATGGTGCCTACCCATTTTTTAAAATAGTTAGGTTTTCAAAGCTGTCAGTCAGATTGGAGAGCACAATATGCGACTAAGGTATAGGGGGTACTACCATCACGACCCCAACCCCTTTCCCATATGATCTATGGTTTTAGATAGAAAAAATATACATGAAGACAAGGCGAATTTTTGTGATGAGCAATATAGTGTAGTGTAAATCGTATTAGCGTAAGAGATGGTTAATTATTAGATAGAAAAAAAGTATAAGAACTAGTTGGTAGGAGAGAGTTTGAATGTCAAACTCGCAAAGTTTTTTCATATGAAAGTTGAGAAAAACTGAAGTTACTTTTCCACTCTTACATAGCTGATTGGGCCTTCTAAAAATCATTTTTCTGGTATCCCTCGCGACCCTATCCAGAGAGTGAGATGCCACTAAATCTGATTCTTCAAGTAAACAATGGCCCATTGAAAATCCAAACAAAATTGGTAAGAAGAATTTGACGCAAGCGATCTACAGCCTTTTCATGTTCCACTACTGTTATGACAATGGTGGCCTTTGCAGATAATACTTTTAGAGAGAGAAACACAATAGTAGCCTTAGACAGGAACGAGTTGGAGCTTGGCCATAGAAAGAAATAAGGTAGAGAGCAAATCTAGAGAGAGAAACAAGGTGAATTCGAGCAGCAAGCAGTGCAAATATGTGGTTTTCAATTATCCGATTCTATTATCCTTGGTCTCCTACACTCAAATTATAACCGATTCAATTTATGAAAATATTCAAGCCACAAAACTACAAAACCACCAAAAATTCAATACCAAATCATTCATGATGCACTATAAAAAAATATATTATTCACCACTCAAACCACTTACAATATCTGATGGAAAAATAAATTATTCACCACTCAAACCACTGAAGAATATCTGATGCTCGAGAGAGAGAGAGAGATTCAAACTACTTAAGAATAGTTCCAATTTATATTAATGTACAAAATATATTGAACTGGACCTTGTTGTTTCATAGAAGATAGAGAAATATAAGTGTATACAACTATAAGTATATAGATACCATAATACATATACCCATTCTTTTTACAAATAAAAAGAGGGCAAACATCAATATCATAAATAAAATTACACATATGAGAGTAATTGTTTGAATGTTTGCTTCCTCAGTGACCATTGCAATAGTTTTGTGCTTCTCTTTTTCTGATAAAGCTGCATCTACTCCATCAACAACACTGGCATCTGACCTCTGAGATGCGAACCTTTTAACCATAAGCTTCCTAACTTCACCTAAAATTTCATCACACCACTCTAGATAACCGCATCCAGTCTCTTTCTAGTAGTTAACACAATAAGATAAATGTGTGTTACAAATATGCTTACAAATGAACACCAAAATACTTTGAAATTATATTAATGAATGAATATTACATACCTTCTAGTTAGAGCATTTATAGAAATGCCTATTATAGTTATCGTGTGTCTTTGATATAAACACGCGCATCCAACCACATCCTGGTTTGCATTTACAAATCCTTGGAGGGAATTGATTGATGAGATCCATTCTATAAAAAAGTCACAAAGAATATATTACAAACTTCATCATAACCATTCTTAATCCATTTACCTTATTTGAGATGGTTAACAATGGGTAGTGCACCTGATAGAAATCATAAAATTCATCCATATCATAATAGTTATTGTGTGCTTAACAATTTTAATAAATACAGGCATTTGAATTTGGTCCCAACTTCAAAGCAATTCTAATCTTACCAGTTCATATAGACAAGATGCTATAAATGTAGAAAAGCAAACAAAAGAAAAATCTCCTTTAGTGAATAGCTCCTTGTAGAAAATAATTCTAGGTTGAGGTTCACAATAGAAGAATGGCAAATAAGTAACTAACAATTCTATCCCATATAGCTATATTCAGGAGCGGGGGATGAATTACAATTGAAGGCAAATCCTGCAACCAATTCATAATTTCATACCAGAAGAGACATGCGGTTTTCTGCATAATGAAGGAATGATTTTTAATCAGAAAGGTGGTTTTTGCAAATCTAGCACTTATGTGAGATTGAACAGGATATTCCCAAGAGTTTATTTCAGATCATATCTATATGCTCATAATATGAGCTTTGGTAAGATTTTCAACTCGCATGGCTCAGTATCCTAATAAACATATCAGCTACATGCATATCAATATATATGCGAATAAAGTCTAGATCACTGCTAAGAATCTTCTCCAAGGTGTTTCTTTTTTTCTTTTGATTTTATGGGCAACGTTATTAGTATTTTTACATGAAATATGCATGTGTAAGCAGTTTTTTATCAATGTTAGAAGAACATCTAAGCCCCATGCAATAAAAATATCTTAAGCCCGTATGCTTAAACAAAATGTTATATACAAGGTCAGAATGAACGAGTCTATGTTCAGAAAAGAGACAAAGGGCTACTTCTATAAGCAATAATAATATATGCTTGAACCTAGAACATTCCCAATTTATATTTTTGTTTATTATTGAGATAAATTTTAGAGATTTTGAATTGCCATAGAAATTCACCCTGCTGGTCAAGTCTGGATTTGATTAAACTATTAGAGTTCAATTGAAGTTCATTATAAATTTTTGAATGCCATAAAATTCGAAATTATTCTTCTGAACATATGGGCCTACAAGCATAGAGTATTCCCAAACCAAATGTTTGGTTGGTTATAAAATTACCTAGTAGTTAAAAGATAACTTGAGCTCAAAAGGGCTAAACCATTATAAAAAAACAGGTGTCTCTAACACAAAATACAAAGCAAAAATATATTAAACAAGCCTATTTTTTATCAATAAGGATCCAAATCATAGGTTGGATATAAAATTCCAAACTTTCAAATAGTTCCAAAGTGAAAAGCACAGGAATGGGTCTAAACTGATGATTTAGAAGAAAAAAGTATGCAACACGCAAAATTTTATATATTCAGCATTATGTGGCTACTAGGAAAAGGGCATAACAATAAAACTATCAACCAATAAGAACTATGTGCCAATAATCTCTCATAGAACCAACTCAAAAGTTATGACAAAAGTCCATTCAATTATAACCAAATAAGTGGAACAAATAGATAACCACTTATCTGGGGGAAAAAAACCCGTAGAAAATCAAACGCCATCAGACCCACATCCTAGCTGAACCAACACAAGTGATATAGCAAAAAATCCAGCTTTTCTTCTAAAAAATAAGAAGTATCAATTTAGTCAAATTGCACCATTCGTGAAAGCATTTACCACTATTCATTTCAATTTTTAGTAAAATCCAATCATTTACCAATAAATTAAACTTACCCAACTTATTGAGCCTCCAAATATCAGCATAAATATCAATTAACCTCAACCATCTCTTTCGTTCTATCCAAATTTGAGAAAGATCATATTGAAAATAACAATAAAAAACAATAGATAGGGTATGAAAGGAAAAAAAGAATCCCATCCTCATGAAGTTGAATTGTGTGAGTCAATTTAACCCAGATCAAGTTTTAAACAGAGTGGTCTTTTGAACTTCATGTAAGCAAATGGAAGGGGTAAAAAAAGAAACATTCAACTGTCCATTCTCTCACTATTGAATAGAAGATTCAGTAAAACGTTACGTGGTTGGAAATTTGGTATATGGGCAGAGAATATATGAACACCAAATGTAAGTCACAAACTAATCTACTTTCTAAAAAGTTCAAGCACAAATATTCCTCTAGTAGAGGTCAAGTCATGGAAGACTACAGAAAGCTAAATATATCCTCTTAAGCCTTTGTATGTCTAATTAAGACCACACTAAGGTATTAGAAGCCATATCAGAAAATAGAAAGAAATGGTGCAATCATCAATCTACCAAAAGTTAAGAATCTCAAAATTTAATCAGAAAATAGAAAGAAGTGGTACAATAATCAATTGACCAAAAGTTAAGAATCTCAAAATTTATACATTAACTCGTTGGGGAACATTATAGACATCAGAATATGCAGATCAGGCAATCTATGCAGGTGAGGTAATGCTCTGCCAAAAAGTGGAGCATGAGACATACAAATGACTATATGCATCAAAATCAATGACAAAAATACGATACTAATTAACCAACTTTAAGTTTCAAGTCCCAAAACTAGTCTTGTTGAACTTATAAAAAAAAAAGTAGAAAATCAAACACCATAAGAC